GGTGCATGGGCAAACAAGGTTGAGAACCACTGTCCTAGCAGTTTAAACACCTATCACTAGCAGGTCTACGGACTTGGCGCACCCACATTCAAACACAACTTTGACATCTATTGAACTGCCCTCTCGAGAGAGCCACCAGCCAGGTTGCTACACCCCAGCCCTAGACAGATGTACTCCCATCCCTAGCATAAAAGGTCCTTCTGCCGTAAAGATTGTCCCATTTGTAACGAATGGGACTACATTGACTTGCATTATGTGTCAAGACGGCTGTTGACACCAACTGCCCTTGACAACCATTCATTGCCAACTTCCTCTAGGCAGGGCACCACATATGATAGGGATCCCTCCTTCACCCTAATACCGGCCAATATCATTGCCTCCTTCACTGAGGCAGATAATGGGTTTGTTCCCATTACCAGACAAGATACTGTTCATCCTGTGGAGGTGCAGTAACAGCAGTGTTAATGGTGGAGGTGAAGTCAGTGTTAATGGTGGAGGTGAAGTAACAGCGTACCTCAGTGTTAATGGTGGAGGTGCAGTAACAGCGGTACTCAGTGTTAATGGTGGAGGTGCAGTAACAGCGGTACCTCAGCGTTAATGGTGGAGGTGCAGCAGTAACAGCGGCAATTTCAGTGTAAATGGTGGAGGTGCAGTAACAGCGGTACCTCCTAAAAGATGAAGTGCAGTAACAGCGGTAATTCCTCAGTGTTAATATTAAAGTTGAGCAGCCACTGTTTAATGAAAACAGCTGGAGTGTTGGAGGAGAAGTTACAGCAAAGTAGTTGTCGGTGACTCACGTAAAGTGTCAATAACTACACCCATTATTGAGGAGTATTGCCAGAAACCGACTCTGTGTGTGTGGGAGGGGGCGAAGTTAATACTACAGCTGCAAGCGTCAAAGAATTTGGTTAACGCACTGCAACTGTTACAATTGATTATATAACGATTATAACTCATTTTGGGTGACGGACAGACGGATAAACGGACGGGAATAATGAAATACTATACTTGTCTCTCACTGCATCACTACCGGCCCTCACACAAATATTACACGCCGTCAGAATTTTTTTCTTTTATGGGAAAATAAATCTAGAAACAAATTAAAAATAAATGGATGAATTGTTAAATGTTCAAATAATCTGATTTAGTTGCCACCCCAAGAGGAAGGAGAGAGAGGCGAGGCTGGTGCAGTAGTCCTCGGTGCAGTAGTCCTCGCTGCAGTAGTCCCTCGATGCAGTAGTCCCTCGGTGCAGTAGTCCCTGCAGTAGTCCTCGTGCAGTAGTCCTCGGTGCAGTAGTCCCCAGTGCAGTCGGCTGCAGTAGTCGCTCGCTGCAGTAGTCCTCGCTGCAGTAGTCCCCGGTGCAGTAGTCCTTTCAGTGCCCTCGCTGCAGTAGTCCTCGCTGCAGTAGTCCCTCGTAGTCCTCGCTGCAGTCCTCGGTGCATTAGGTCCCCTCCTCGCTGCTGCAGTCCTCCGCTGCAGTAGTCCCCGCTGCAGTATTTCCTGCAGTACCGCCGCAGTAGTCCTCGCTGCAGTAGTCCCGGCAGCAGCGTCCTCGCTGCAGTAGTCCTCGTGCAGTAGTCCTCGCTGCAGTCCTCGCTGCAGTAGTCCTCGCTGCAGTAGTCCTTCGCTGCAGTAGTCCTCGCTGCAGTAGTCCTCTGCTCCAGTATGTAGTCCCTCGGCAGTAGTCCTCGCTGCAGTCCTCGCTGCAGTAGTGCAGTAGTCCTCGCTGCAGTAGTCCTTCGCTGCAGTAGTCCGTCGCTGCAGTAGTTCCCTCGCCGCAGAAGTCCTCGCCGCAGTAGTCCTCGCTGCAGTAGTCCTCGGTGCGGTCCTTCGCTGCAGTAGTCCTCGCTGCAGTAGTCCTTCGCTCACGCTGCAGTAGTCCCGTGCAGTAGTCCTCGCTCAGTCCTCGCTGCAGTAGTCCTCGGTGCAGAGTGGTCCTCGCTGCAGTGGTCCTCTCCTTTGCAGTAGTCCTCGCTGCAGTAGTCCGCTGCATTAGTCCGTCTGCGGTAGTCGCTGCAGTAGTCCTCGGTGCAGTAGCTGCAGTAGTCCTCGCTGCAGTAGTCCTCGCAGTAGCCCTTCGCTGCAGTAGTCCCTCGCTGCAGTAGTCCTCGCTGCAGTAGTCCTTCGCTGCAGTAGTCCTCGCAGTAGTCCCTCCGCAGAAGTCCGCGTAGAAGTCCTCGTGTAGTAGTCCTCGGTGCAGTCCCTCTGCAGTAGTCCTCGCTGCAGTAGTGCAGGCTGGTCCCGCTGCAGTAGCTGCAGTCCTCGGTGCAGTAGTCCTCGGTGCAGTAGTCCTCGGTCCAGTAGTCCTCGGTCCAGCATTCCTAGTGCAGTCAGTCCTCGCTGCAGTAGTCCCTCGCTGCAGTAGTCCCTCGCTGCAGTAGTCCTCGCTGCAGTAGTCCTCGTAGTCCTCGCCGGTGCAGTAGTCCACTCGGTGCAGTAGTCGCTGCAGTAGTCCTCACTGCAGTAGTCCTCGCTGCAATAGTCCTCGCTGTCCTCGCTGCAGTAGCGTCCTCGCTGCAGTAGTCCTCGCTGCAGTAGTCTCGCCGCAGTAGTCCCAGTCCTCGCTGCAAGTCCCTCGGTGCAGTAGTCCTCGCTGCAGTAGTCCTCGCTGCCCTCGCTGCAGTAGTCCCTCGGTGCAGTAGTCCCTCGCTGCAGTAGTCCCTCGGTGCAGTAGTCCCTCGGTGCAGTAGTCCCTCGCTGCAGTAGTCCCTCGCTGCAATAGTCCCTCGCTGCAGTAGTCCCTCGCTTCAATAGTCCCTCGCCGACGCTCTTCTCATAATTAAGTTTCTGTTTTTCTGATGGTACAATTTTCTCTCCAGGACAGTCTGCTAATGGATGTTGGGTCTTTTCCCTCCTAGTTAAGACCCACTATGATGTAACAGTAAAGTGAGAGTCAACGTGGCTGTGGTCTTGCTTTTTCAATTTGTTTGGCTGTTTTTATCGCCTTGTGAGTGTGAAAAGAAACTAGTATAGATGGTTAATGTTTGTGAGGAACTGAAGGTGATAACGTTTCATAGAACTAAAACAAAATATAAGTAGCAAAGCTGATACAAGAACAAGTAGCAAAGATGAGACAAGAACAAGTAGCAAAGATGATACAAGAACAAGTAGCAAAGATGATACAAGAACAAGTAGCAAAGATGAGACAAGAAGAAGTAGCAAAGATGATACAAGAACAAGTAGCAAAGATGATACAAGAATATTGTTCCCTTTCATCATCCTGTACTTGTGGTTATTTTAAATGCTCCTTCACCCCCAAAAAATGTTGCACATAATTTCTCTCCTTCCCCTTGTTATTATTTCTTCCTTTCTCTTGGTTACACTTTTTCTCATTATATCTTTTTGTTGACTTTTAAATACTGATAGTTAGCTGGGGTAAACGGGGCGATGCTCACCCTAACTGTTATAAACAAAGGGTTGGTTAATTTGTTTTTAATTATTCAGTTGTGTTTTTTTTTTTCAAATATATTTTCTGAGGAATTCTGAGTAAAACCTAAAGAGCCTTGAGGAAGTAGAGCTGGTGGAGTGATCAGAGTCCAGATTTTGGATTCCTTGTGAAGTTGTCTGGGTAGGAGCAGGTGGAAGAGACATTCCACCTGGGCTTTATATAGCACAGTCATGACCGCGACGTCACGCCTGTACTGTAGCGTCTGCTGAGAGACTCCGGCCGTGGACCAGCTCCCAGTCCTGCTATGAGTCTTTTATCTCACTCCTCCAACTGATCCAGACGGTGGATCCGGGTGCCAGGAGAGTGACATTTTAGTAACCAGGAACTGAACGTGACTGACTGTAGTCAATTGAGAGAGATATTTCCACATGGCCTGCCTTGTTCACTGATCCGGTAGGCAGTGTTCTCTAGTAACCGTGAAAACAATTGTTCATCAACGAAGAAAATCTGCCATGTTTGACCCCAGGCAGTTATTGCCTAAAGGCGTTGGTTGACTGGGTGTAGCGCGGGGACTCGCTCCCCCCTGACGTAGGTGAAGCTAGTCGTAGGTATATGCCTCAGGACCCCTACACCAGACTTTATGCCCTGTGGTACACCGGCTACTGTAGGGTGATTTCTAGAGTTGTGGTTTGCATAAGTTACCGTCTGATGAGAAGGCACCAGTGCCATACCAGGCCGAAAGGCTTAGGAATGTCCATTCGTTTGTATGTCTGTTTGTGAAGGATTTTGCTCGGGCATCTGAGGACTCTCGTCAGTGGAACCAAACTAAAGCATCTTCCTGACAAACTCCCGCTGAGGGATATACCTCTCCTACAGAGTGAAGATGCGGTTACTAAAGGCTGCGGTTTAACTGTTGCCGTTCCTTCAGGTATAGCCTCCCCACTGGTATTCACCAAATCTGACCGATTGATTGCCAGTCGCCCTTATCCCATAGCTACATAATGAGGATGGTTTGACCTCTCACGGACCACTGGAATGGCCAGCGAGGTGAGGAGCGCTGTGTGGTCATGAGAACCGAAGCGGCCTGACTTAGAGACGTACTGGTTATTAAGAGGTGTGGCAAGTCTGTCACTACCCCAGCAAGATAGCACCCAGAACTCTCTCTCTCTCTCTCTCTCTCTCTCTCTCTCTCTCTCTCTCTTTTTATCTATATACACTAAACCGAATACTTTATTTGCATTAAGCGAATCAGGACAGACTTGATGGAGACATAATAGTCGTGCTGGGGAGGACAGGGAGACAGGACAATGATAAAAGTGTTAAACTATGAATGATATAATCTTACGCTATTGGTGAAGCGAAGACTGGCACTAATAGTCTTATCTACTATTATGTATGTTAAAATAGGTACATTATTATCATCATCATCATCATCATCATCATTATTATTATTATTATTATTATTATTATTATTATTATTATTATTATTATTATTATTATTATTATTATTATTATTATTATTATTATTATTATTATTAGTAGTAGTAGTAGTAGTAGTAGTAGTAGTATTAACACACCGGTATCATCAAGTAACTGTCGTCTCCTCAGGACGGGTTCGTGTTGGTGGGTTCAGTGGCTGGTCAGCGGTACTGGTCGTCAATGCTCAACCTTCAGTCCACTATTACCTCCGGCGTCTTCACCCCCGAGGACCAGCAGGTGAGAGCATGGGTTACTTTGTGTGGTTAACCTCTTGAGGGTTAACTTATTGTCCTCAAAGGGTTATCATGTGCCATTAAGTATTGATGATTTAGAAAAAAAATGTTTAAGGAATGTGTTATTTAGTTAAGGTGAACTTACTGGCTCAGCTCTGTTGTGGATGTGTCATGGACAAGACCTGGCGTCTCTACTGTGGGTGATGCTGAACTGAACGTGTTGGGTTTGTTTGCTGTGGTTTTGTCTCCCCTGCCCCCTCCTCCCCCCCCCCAAAAAAAAAAGATCATAGGAAACAATTGAACATAGAATTAGACTCTTAAAGGTGTCTATTTACACATAAAACTCCTCTGACTGAGTTGAGATTAGAACCGAGAGACTGGTTTAATTACCTGCCATTGGTTACGTGCATGAAGATAACAATGTTGTGTCTCTGTTTGCTGCAACATGTTTGTCCTTCATGTTTTCCTCCAAAAGGTCAGATGCTGAATTTTTTCTCTCAGAGTATTATTTTCTCTTAATTTCCAATAAACATGGATTTTCTTAATAAAGTTCCATAAATTCTATTAAGACTTGTCTATCTAATGTAGACTCGGCCATGAAACTCATTTCCGCCTGAAATTAATCGTCGCACTGAACAAACATTATGACACAGCAGCCTGCACAGTCCAATGTGTACAATTTACACTTCAAGCAGCGCCTTAACTAGCACAGGTCAGGCCCTATGCCTGCAAAAACTGGGCCCTTTACACCAAATTTACACCTAGGAAATCATATCTAGTGTAGTGGTAGTGGATGAACACAGACCCAAGATGTCATAAATTTCACTGTTGGATGCTAATAACATGGCAGGTAGTACTCACTTCCAGATCCAAATTAATACAAGTCTCCCTCAACATTAATCTGGTGGCAGTCACTCAGTATTGTGTCTAACGCATTGTATCTCGTCAGGTGTACTTCGGGACGACGTCGGGCATGGTGATAGTGATGGACGTACACGGGGCCATGGTGTCACAGGTGCCCCTCTTAGACGACACGGCCATCACCGACCTGGCCTGGTCCTGCCCCAAGTTCAAGATGGAGGAGAATGAGGAAAACAATACGAAAAATTGTGAGTAAGAGACAATACAGTCATAACGTTAAAGGTTATTTAGATACACATCGTTTACTTTATTACGTTTTTCAAGAAATACTGTACTGTGTTATTTATAATGTACTAGATGACAGCACAAACATTTTAGGGACCTGGTAATCTGAGTTATTAAGGACAACTGTGACAAGGTAAGGGTCACCGCAGCCTTAGTAGTCTTATTCCTATCAACCTTGATTAGGGGTGGAATGAAATAAAAATTACTAAAATAAAATTAAAAGAGAAATGGAACAAAATAAACCCGTTTTTAATGAAGGGTGAGTCTTCTGGGGAGCCATGTGTACATGAATCCTTGATTAGGGTTGTTTTCTAATTCTACGGGACTGTACTGTACTGTATAGAGGGTTGGGTGGGGGGTGTTTTTGTGTAGTGTTAGGTGAGATAGTTTAAAATTTAGATTATATATTATACAGACCTGTACTCAGGTGTACTGCTTATTCTTTAAACTAAACACAGTGAGCTTGTGCGTTCACTACCTCTACTTGTCTAACGCCGCCCATGGCAACACATGTGTAATGGAGACGACACAAAATACTGTATTGTTAAACTGGAAACTTGATTTAATTAAGTTTACGTAAATTGTGCCAATTAACGTCGCTAAATAATTTATATTTATTTATTGATGCTATTATTATTATTAAACCTAACGCAAGTAACAACCCCAACCATAACGCGAAATTCTCATCGATGTTTCTTTAGTCCAGCCAAGCTTTGTGAGTAAAACAAAACCTGGGTATAGCTTTAAGAATTCTTGTGCTACAGCGGTTAACACTCCTAGTTCCCACACGGAGGTCTTGTTTTCGAATCCTGGCTAGTGAGGGAGTTAGGAATCAAACCCGGAACCTCTGCGTGGGAACCGAGAGTGTTACCACGGCGCCATAAGGACAGCAAAGACCAATTTATTCATCGTTATATTTCACACAAGTCCTGCTCCTTCGTCTTATTCTTAAGCAAGGAAAGTTTTATCTCTTATAATTTGTAATTGTTGATGGAATGGTGTAATTAATAACATTGTTGCGCGCTTAAAGACCTTAGTTTTGGTCGACACAAATGGTCTGGTAGATTCTGTAGATGCTGTTCTCATATTTTGTCTTGTCTTTACTTCTTTATTCTCTATAGTTAAGTAGTCAGAAGTCAAACACTTGATGTATAGAAAATAAGACACTTCTGGGAATAGGTTATGCAGCGTTACAAGTTGGAGGTCTATGGTAATCTCCACACCTCCGTTCAAGTCCTTTCCACGCCGTCAATCCGTCGCTTAAGTAATCAACGATCGGAGGTGATGTGTGCTGAAATACGACCTAGTTAGGGGGCGGGACTAGGTCTGTGATTACGTCTGGCTGTCTTTAGCAGATGGAAGGAAGTCGAATCCTGATATTACAGTAAACTGATACAACATCCGTTTGACCAATATGTAATGTACAGTCAACAGCATAAATTCTCTCCAACCTTCCAAGTATGATATGAGGCAGGTGATCTGGTAACACTGTTTGGGGACGAGTCGGCTGATATGCTTTAAATGGCTAATTATTTAAGATATATGATCGAGGATTGATCAAAAGTACATTTTTTTGTTTATAACACAATTAATATTAATGTGTGAAATGTGGGAAAATAATCAGAAATATATGACATTGCTGCACGATGATTCATGACTGAGGATCCAGACGAAAGATTATTCGTACTGTTGTCGCCACCGAGTATTTTTCATGCTTAGTGACACATTCATCATACAGCGTTTTCAGCAATAAATCTGAAGCTTCATAAAAGCATTGCATAATATGTCACTTATACGCAAAATGAAGAACATGAATTGACACTGTGTGATTCTTGAATATCTTTGTTAACGTCAATTCCTTCCCTCCTGTCTTCATTCACGTTGTGTTTGCCAGAAAGCTGAAAAAAAAATTGTATGGTGGTAGCTAGAGTGAAAAGAAAAAGTGTTAACTGAGAGCCTTTTTAGCTTCTTCACTACGAGAGATCATTCCTAAACTGAATAAAATCATCAACTATCTTATTCTCAAATGTGTCCATATTCAGAACATTATACAGTTACTTATTTCCTCTGATATAAGTGACGACATGAAATGAAACAGCGAACTTTGGATCTAACTTTAATCAACGACCATGATCTTCCACAAAAACAATGCCCCCCCCGCCCCGCCCCGCCCCGCCCCGCCCCGCCCCGCCCCTCTTTTTATCACCCCATGCATTACTTCCATCGATAAGTCTATAAACGAAACTCCTCACTTCTTGATTTTTGGGGGGTAATAAATGTCTTCCTCGTGAAATATTGTCACGCAATCCTCAGTCAGTTTATAAGTATGATGATTATATAAGAACTAGACTGTCGGACTTTCAGAAAACTCATCAGAGGACAAACGAGAACCTCAACAGCGGGTGGAGATTACATGGACCTCCAGCTTGTAACCCGACATAACTTATTTCCAGAAGAGTTTTATTTTTATACACCAAGAATTTGATTTTTCCTGAAGACTTAACATGACAATATAAGAGAACAGACAGTTTACACCTCGAGATTATAGAACCAGTTATATTACTACACCTTCCGTGGCAAATAAGAAATTGTTTACAAGATGAAGGTTAATGAGATACACTGACATACTCGCAAACAACTCAGCACATTCTAAGAAACAGAATTTCAACCCAAAACAAACAAATGAGCGTGAGTGAGCCTAATCAGGTCTAATATTCTGCCTAATTATGACTGGGATAATTTTCTTTAGCTGGGAACAATTGGCCAATATGATAAACTTTTAAGACAATTAAAACTAAATGGTATGTTCATCAGAGGTAATTGGCCAATCAACATGTAATAGAATGACCGGATGAGTCGATTCAACTTATTAAGAAAAATATAATTTTTTTCCTCTTGCGAGAGTAAGTGGCTGCTAGCACACACACACACACACACACACACACACACACACACACACACACACACACACACATACATATTCATATTATAGCAGTGACGAGGATGCGGTGTAACATAACTCGGGTATGTGCGAAAATCGCCTCCCAGTGCACCAGTACTGTCTCTGTTGACATAAGAAAAAGAACAATTTATAGCTGGCGTTACGTAAATGCTGGCAGGGGATACAGGCAGGCAGTGTTTACTATCAGGCCTTAAATAAGAGATGTGTGTGTGTGTGTGTGTGTGTGTGTGTGTGTGTGTGTGTGTGTGTGTGTGTGTGTATCTATGCGTGTGTGTATCCATGCGTGAGTTTAGGTTCTTGGAAGTGTATCATTGAGTTTGACATTATGTTTATGTATTCGTGTTATTGTTTGTGCATTTGTGTGTGTATGTTTTGGCCGGTGTGTGATGTTTGTGTTTTTGTCAGGGTATTTGTATGGCTGAGTTTTACCTATGGTGATGTGTGTTTGTGTTTTTATTTGTTTGGTTGTTGTCTATGTTTACCTGTTTTTGTTATCTGTATGTTATTGTGTAAACTTGTAGAGGTCTTGGAAAAATAGGCATTAATGAAGAAGATATTAAAATTCTAAAGAAATATTTACTGGCAACGGGAGACTGTAGTGTTAGTAAATAATGAACTTACTAATTGGTTCACAGTTAGACAGGGAGTAAGACAAGGCTGTGTTATATCTCCAACATTGTATAATATATATTCAGAATTATTAATGAGAGAAGTTATGTGACGGTGAAGGAGTGAAATTTAATGGTGTGGCGTATCCTATTACCCACTCCTCTTTCATTACTTCTAGGATATTCTTCGTAGGGCAAAGCGGAATTTTATGAAAAGAAAGACCGCTCTCCTGACTAACTCTTGTTCTAGTATATCCTTCTGGTCCTTAAAACCAAAAACATCAGTAAAAACTTCTGCACTCCCTCTTTTCCTCCTCTCTTCCGACCTGATAACTATATAGCCAGCTTTCCCCCTGATAAAGCCAATCTCTTTGTCACCTTATTTTCCTCTAGCTCCACCTCACACGACTCAAACTCTACCTCTCCTACTTCTGCTCCTCCTACTGAACCTATGCACTTTCCTATAATCTCCACTCGTAGGGTTGCTGGTGTGTTATCTAGGTTGGATGTGAGTAAGTCGCATGGACCGGACAGAATACCCCATCGTGTTCTAAGGGAGTGTGCTGAAATTCTAGCCCCTGTGCTTGCCCGCCTCTTTCGACTTTGCCTCAAAATCCAAACTTTTCCTTCGTCTTGGAAGCATGCCTTGGTTCAGCCCATCCCGAAGAAGGGTGACCATTCTAATCCCTCTAACTATCTCCCCATCGCCCTAGCTTCATCCCTCTCAAAGATTTTCGAAACTATTTTGAACTCCCATTTTCTCCGTCACCTTGGACGCCATTCTCTTTTGTCGGATCACCAGTATGGCTTTCGTCAGGCGAGATCTACTGGTGATCTGCTCTCCTATTGCACCCATCTTTGGTCATCCTCTCTTAGGGATTATGGGGAAACTTTCTTTGTGGCCCTCGACATCTCCAAAGCATTTGACAGGGTATGGCACAAGTCTTTGCTTTCCAAACTTCCCTTTTATGGTTTCTCTTCCCCACTTTGTTCTTTAATTTCCAGCTTCTTTGAGAACCGATCCATGGCAGTTGTTGTCGAGGGATCAATCTCTCGCTCTTTCCCTACCAATAGTGGTGTCCCACAGGGATCTGTTTTGTCACCTACTCTCTTCCTTCTTTTTCTCAATGATTTACTTCACACTACAACTAATTCTATCCATTCTTACGCTGATGATTCTATTCTTCACTCTTCACATTTTTCCTTCCCCCCTAATTCTCAAACTAGATCTGCTTCTAGACCTGATATCATTTCATCTATCAATGCGGATCTGTGCAGCATCTCTGAATGGGGAGGTAGAAATTTGGTTAAATTCAATCGTAATAAAACAGTATTCACCAATATTATAACACTTTTCAAAACAGAAGAACTCCCACCAATCACATTTCAGGAC